AATGTGAGCAATGACAGTGTAATTATTCGGTGTTAATGCGGAGGAAAGGTCATACAGAAAAGCAGTAATTTATAATAGGTAAGTTCTTCTATTTCAATGTACACACATCGCTTTTAGCAACTTTCGCCTTGATTGTAAATTGTGAATGAACTGGATATATTTTACTAATTATTCTCAACCAAATTACATCCAGTTTGCTAACTTTGATCCTTATTTCGATTGAAATATTTCGAATCAAATTAATTTTCCACACCTACCACTGTTGGTTCCTAGTCCTACTTTGCGAAAATGGAGCAGACACGTGCCACTCGTCCTCGCCTTCTCTTGATTAGCGACTTGACAAGCACCGCGTTGGCAGAAAAATCACATTTTGATTTAGGAGATGGCGAAACATAGAGGAAAATTATGCTAGAAAGTGGGAATTGAAAGAATTAATCTAAGTTTGCTTAGGTCGCAATCGGTAATTGCTGTTTTGAATGAGATGTGAATGGCAGTTACTACAAACTGTGCTCAGTAACAATTTCCATCTCTAAATGGATACAATCCAGAAAAGTGCTTAAACACTAAAGTGAAGTCACTTTAGATAAGTTGTATTTATTGCTCATTTTAAAGTGTACCTACTTTTAATTTCTCAATTTTTCATGTGCTTCAGACTTTCACCCAGAAAATAGATACATCAGTGACCAATTGAATAATGCATGTCTGAGGGAAATGTTCAACATCCTTTCATCTTTCTCCTCGTTTTAGATGACCGTATGTCCTGCGATAAACCCAAGATTTTATTGCAAGGGATTTTTACAGGTGAGTTCATCGAAATGCGCATCTAAAATATATATATATATATACATCCATGCGCACACGCAGAATTTAAACGAGTTACAATTGTTTGCTCAGATTGTAATGTTTGCAAGCAAAGCCATCTTCTATCTCTCCCTGGTGTGTGTCTGCCTCCTCTTCTCGATGATGACGCAGGCATGCATATTTGTCTATCCAGCAGAAGATTTGTACAACACAACAAATGGATCATGTTGTGTATCGGCCGATTTTAATTCAGATGAGGCCATGATTCCGCGGACTGGTTAATTCAATATTGAGAACTATGTAACTCATTTAGTTACCATTTCTCAACTCAAACTTAAAAAATAAAATCTTACATGTTATAAGATTTTATCTTTGTTCTGATAATCGAAATTGGGTGGTCAATCAAAATTGGCAACTTTTACTCTCATGAATTGCATGTGGGTTGTCACTCGTAACGCCAAAAGCTGTCATTACCTCAATAATGACAACTCGAATGTCATTGAGTATATTATTATCAATACATATTGTGATGAGAAAGTAAATACTTCCGATTGATCATTCAATTGACTGAAATCGACTTCGAAGTTTGTATGCAAAGTAAAGTGAATTAGGATAAAACACGAATGGGATTTTCCTCCAAAAATTTGATAATAGTAATAATTGCCATATCAAATGATACTTCTCATTCTCCGCCTCGAAACTGGCAACTTGCAAACAGGCAAGTGTTAGATAAGAAATCAAGTGATGCTTGCTTGTGATTAGTTTGACAGTGAGGAAATGTGAACTTGGACTGAGATATCTTGCAGTCAATATATCTGTACCATCACCTTTCATTTTTAACTCACATTATCTCCTTTCCTAAAGTTGATTAAAAACCTAAAATATTAGCCTTTCGTCTTTTCTCAGTGGAGGCAAGCGTCAAATCTAAATCAAGAAGGTGCAGGCTGTATTTGCGTCTAATTTGAGGCCTAAATAACTAGTCATGACGACTTAGACTTCAACTTTTACAAAATGTAGATTTTCGATATCGACGTGGTTATTAAGGTGCACGAATTAAAACAAGTAAGAGTTGGATATTGAACCAGAAATATGATGGAAATCTCGACTGTTCGTATGATTAGTTGCCTGATTAATGAAAGTTTGCCTACGTGGTAGATAGGACATCATCATCCATTCCATAATTAAAATACAATTTGTTGAACAATGCAACGCCTATTGGTTGATAACTAGCTGAGTGGTCTCTGTTCACTCGTTTACACCTGCTAACTACGGAAAATTAGTCCGGTCTCGTCTGTCAGAGAGTGTATTAGATTCCACCGTTCCGCCATTGGTGCGTGGTGTGCTCCTCAAGACCTATTCGCTCACTTTTAACTCCACTTTCTACCTACAAGATTTGTGAGATTGGATAATACTCAACTGTCTTTTAAGCGGACATACTATGTCATTTGTCGAACATGGCGCTCTTATGTCCTCACTTTATGGCTTTTTATTACTGAACTACAGATCTCGATGCAATAAAGATCTAGACGTAATAAATATTTTTATAATACAAAGTGAAATGAATAACATGGGAAAATGAATTGAGGAATTACTGTTGAAGGGCACAAGTGGAATAATGTCAAATTTATTTCAATTACCTAAAATCAAGCCAAACACCTTTACAATGTTATCACCTATTACATCTTACACCGAGATACACATTCACTACCTCCTTTTTTGCATGTATACCACAACTATTTCAATGAGCACCACTTTAAGAAGAAATCAATGGGAAACGTTGAGAAAATATGAAGATATAGAGCTAAGTGGCATTTCACTGAGGGTCACATCGTTTGCCTCCAAATCAACATCATTGATTTATATTTGATCATACGCAATTATTCCAAATTTGACTGCTAACAATAATTGACACACCAAATGAGATTAAGGATTAACGAATGTAATAGATTTTTTGCCGTAATGCAACAGCGTTCTAGACTGAAGTTGGAGGGGGTTCATTGGCCCTTCCTCAAAAAATCCATTCATCTATCACTCTCACCCTCTCTATCGCAAATCTTTGAGAATGAAAGTCTAGTTTTGAACACAATCTTGGGTGTTCTTCAATACTCCATTGAAATTCAACAATTTCTACTGTTGCATTATTAGTGGGCTGTGTCAAGATAACTTTAGTGAATCTGTAAGTGAGGAAGAGAGAATTTGTGCCAATCTTAATCTCTGATGGCATTGGCATTTCAATTAACACTGGCAAAAACAATCGAATGACTTCTTCCTTTTCAAAGGTCTTTCATTCATTTACTGCGTTTCACTTGTGACAAAACCAGATTTGAACGTGTTGAGGACTGGAAGATGAGTCAACTAACAGAAACCCAATTCTAGAAGTTGTGGCATTTTGAGGTGGATTTGCCTCAACCAAAGAGAGCACTATCTGTATCAAAATGTTAAGTGGTGACAATTACACATTTCTTCACTTTACGCTCTCTACCCTTTTAAGCTATGTTTTTTAAACATTAAATGATGTTAGTCTTAGCCGAGGTGAGCTGCCTCTCCGCAATTCAATGCTCTACGTGAGACTCATAATCTGTAATGTGATACTTCTACTTATAAGTTATCCCTTCGGTAGACTCAATTCAATACATGCCAAAGGGAAAGGAGTGAGCTTTGGAGAAGCAAACACATTCAATCCAAGTTTGAATAATGCGAAATCACTAAGTGCTGGTTCGAGACACACCACCCTTCCACAGCATGTCTCTATCCAAGACTCAGCCTCATAATTCACGATTTACAGGACAATAAACTATATCATCCAATTAATAGGCTACTACAAAGTATTCCTGGAATTATTTGTACGCAAGTAGTTTTTAGTGCAAAAGAATGTTATGCGCCAAATGGTGCTTTCTTTCTATCTACTTTCCCTTGCACGTCAATGCTAGGAAATATTATGCACCATTTAAATTTGTCATGTCTTATTAGAACTCAAAAGCATTTCCAACTTTGTGAGTGAAAGGCTCAAAACGTCATTTTTGAATGTTAATAAGTTTCAGGAGCAGTAAAGGGGAGGCCGAAATTGAAAAGTGATTGGCATTCACTACATTCAATAATCGGGGGGAGCGATAGACTTACCTCCACGTGGTGCACCCTGAGCAACATATCTTTGTACGGCAAAAAAGTCTATCACTCGGCATTTGATTTGACTTCGATTTCTTATGATTAACTTAAAAAAGTCTATAAGAGAAATCGCCCTAGTCAGGGAAGCTTTAAAAAAGTCTATAAGAGAAATCGCCCTAGTCAGTGCGAATCACAATGTCTTCAGATCCTCCAGTGGAATGCTGGAGTAATATCACAGGACAAAAAAGATCCCTACAAACCTATGATGAAGACATTTTCACAATTATGAAAACAAACATTTCGGATGGCAAACTGAGGTACTACCATTCCCAGGTTACACACTGTACCTTCTACCTAAATATCGGCAAGTTGCAAGTGGAATTCTGACTGGAATAAATAAAGACCTCATCTCACACTAAGATCTAATCAAGAGTATGGGCTCGACACAAGACATATGGGAAATAATCAGATTAAATGTTTGGAAATGTCAAAACTACTTCAAGGTATATGCAGTCTATAATCCACCCCAGAATTGTCCAAACTTCGACTTTCTGAACATTTCACACAAAACTGTAGTATTAGGAGACTTCAACGTCCATTCCGCCAGATGGGGCTACAAGGAGACAAACATAGCTGGAAAGGAAATCGAAGACATGCAAAACAGCAACCTCCTGGAACTTATTTACAGCTAAGAGGATCCGGCTACATATTTGCATCACAATGGAACCAGAACAACTCCTGATTTACTCCTGGCTTCAAACGACATCAGCGAGTGAACTCGCCAGCAAGCGACATCAGTGAGCACACACACCGCAAAATAATTGATGATCCTGGTTTTCTGGTCACAAACCAGTCATTGCTAGTATTACCATCGGTTGCAAAAGCATGAGCTGGTCACAAACCAGTCATTGCTAGTATTACCATCGTCAGCAAAAGCATGGCATGGAAAGTGCCAACCAAGCTATCATGGAACTTCAAAGGGCCGACTGGCCTAGATTCACAAACCTTTTAGAGAATGAACTTCCCACAAGTCCCCTCAACTTCAACGAATATTATGATCAGATGTGTAAAGAAAACCATTCCCCTAGGCAAGACTCAACACTATCGAGTGTTTTGGTCTAGACACCTTGAGGAACTGAAATGAGTGTTTTGGTCTAAACACCTTGAGGAACTGGAAAGATAGTGTTTTGGTCTAAACACCTTGAGGAACTAAAAAGAAAGCTGTTTTGGTCCAAACACCTTGAGGAACTGAAAAGAAAGAGATGGTCTAGCCAGAGGCAAGACTCAACACTATCGAGTGTTTTGGTCTAGACACCTTGAGGAACTGAAAAGAAAGCGGGACGCCCTTCGCAACACTGCTGATCAGGCTGGAAGAACAAAAGACGTACGAGCCTGGAGACGGCAGTCAGTTGTCCTAAGGCAAGCCATCTTACAAGCTAAACGCACTTCCTTCGACAAGTTCATCTCTAATATCAACTATGAAAATGATTGCCAACGCACTTTCAAATTCCTGGGTAACCTCCAAAATAACAGAGAAAGACCCAAGAAAAAACCAATACGCTTAAACAGCAAATTCCTTAACACCGACTCCAAAATAGCTAACTGCTTTGCGAGGTTCTATTCCCACAAGCAAAAGAAACACCCTTTTGTCAGAAAATCTTCAAGAGATTTAAAGATACAAGTAGGACATTTGGGTGAAATTAGGGAAGACATAACAACACCAAATAATGTACTTACTGAGCCATTCAGATCTTGCAAACTTAACGCTGCGATAAAGCAGCTCAAGTGCAAAAAGTCTCCTGGCGAAGACGGTATTCATGCGGAATTTCCAATTAGAATGGGACCAACAGTCAAGGAAACCATGCTGACCCTTTTCAACAAAATCTGGGAGACCAGTCTCGTACCTAACCAATGGAAAGTTGCCATAGTAATACCAGTACTAAGACCCTAGCAACTTTGACAACTATAGGCCTATCTCCCTGACAAGCGTGCTGGCTAAATTTATGGAAAGAATGGTTAACAGGAGGCACACTGACTTTGACAACTATAGGCCTATCTCCCTCACAAGCGTGCTGGCTAAACTTATGGAAAGAATGGTTAACAGGAGGCTGACCTAGTTCCTTGAGGTCAACAGTATTCTTTGGAGTGAACAAGCAGGTTTTATGCCACAAAGATCAACGAACCAACATGTCGCCACTTTCTCCCAACACATCAAAGATGCCCTTGATGCAAGAAATACTCTTACGGCTGTTTTCGTCGATTTCAAATCAGCATATGACTTAGTATGGAAAAAGAAGCTAATTCTAAAATTGGCAAAGGTTGGTATAAAGCATAACATGCTAAATTGGATAAAAGCACTCATTGGACAAAGTTCATGTAAAGTCAGATATGGAAATGCTCTATCAAAATCCAATCTTTTACAAACAGGCCTTCCACAGGGAGCTGTCACAAGCTGCCCACTTTTCAATGTCTTCACCAATGACATAGCCGAATTGGTACAGACAGTCACGGGCATCAAGTGCTTACTTTATGCAGATGATCTTGTTCTATGGTATTCCGCCCCTAAGAAAAACGCTCAGGAGAGGACAGAAAGTGCCCTCAATTGTGCACTTAAACTACTAGCTAACTGGTGCGACAACAATGGAATGGTAATCAACACCGCAAAAACTGCATTCCAAACATTTTCTCTTACCCGTCACAGCAAAAACCCACTTCTAAAGTACAAGGATACTACCCTAGAAAAAACCAATGAGTTCACATATCTCGGAATGACTTTTGACACAAAGCGAACGTGGAAAAGTCACATTGCTAAAATAGCAGATCGAGTCTCCAATAGACTGAATGTCCTGAAGCGCCTTGCTGGTAGCGTATGGGGCTGTGCACGCTCAACTCTCAACACCACTTACAAGATGTTTATT